TAACAACACTGGTTTTGCTTTCCTATATTTTTTTTTCCTTTTCTTTATTATGATTTTAATATCATTTATTAATTCATCTCAAATTTCCCACATTCCTTGAATATAAAGGATAAATTTTACTTCATGGAAATGCAAGGATGTATGACAATGAAACAAGCCCAAAATTCGTAGTTTTGATAATTTTCAGTTAAAAAAAAGAAGTTTCTAAACAGGTTTTAATAATATATCAGTCTAAAACCCTCTTACAATATATTAATAATGAAATTGTATCAACAATTTTAAAGGTTATGAACTTTAAATCTGTGACCATTCCCCTTTAAATCAAGATACACGTTTGATGTTGCTTTTGGGTATGGAAAGGTAATTTCCGATGTCTTGATTAAAGGGATGAGCCGACATGTTAATTATGTGACCTACAAACAGCTTGAATGATACACTATAAAGCAAATTATTAATATTGTAAAAACTCTACCGAATAAATAACTTTACGAGGATTTTGGGGTTAATTTTTCAAGTGCAGCATTACACAATATTTGCTTTAACAAAAAGAATAAGAAATGACAATATTGCATATTCCATGATGGAAATCAGAATGACGGGAAAGAGACAAGGCGAAACTGTTATGATGTTATTGGAAGTTAGTAAATTCTGTTGGTAATATCGTATATGTGTGTAATCGGTAATCATGTTATCATTACGTAAGATAAATCCCAGTTTATTCCTTCCAGTAGACGTCCTCTTATTTCATTTATTTCCAGCCCTTACTGATACATCTCCAGTCATTCTATCTGCAGTGAATTTAAAAAGAAAATCATACTCTTATTATCAAATTGTCGAGTCGTCCGCGTGGCGCAGTGGTTAGAGCATCTGCTTTAGAGTCGCGAAGTAGGGAGTTGATCCTTACGTCGCGTGTTCGAATCCAACTGTGGGACGTGGAGACCGGTCCTTCGGATGAGACCGTATAAACCGAGGTCCCGTGTCGCAGTAGGTGCTGGCACGAAAAAGATCCCTCAATGCTCAATGGCCGTAAGTGCCGCGTATAGGACAAAATTTGCAGCTCTAGCCCGGCAAGTGGTGGCGTCTCCATATGAGTGAAAAATTCTAGAGAGGGACGTTAAACAAAATACAATCAAGCAATCAATCAAATTGTCGAATGGTGTGTGTTATAAGCATAATATCAAGAGGTTAATGTTTATGTACCATCTTATGAAAATGTCCACTTCTCCCCAAGACCCTAGTTGATAAAAAAAAATCAAAGAAGAAAATCAAGTAACTTTGAAAGGACAGCGAAGTATCTCTGACTTTGTAGGTTTATTCTCATTATTCGATTTTGTGGGAGCAGAAATTAAAAAAAGTTTAAATGCATTAGACAGAGATGATCAAGTAATATTAAATTATTCCTGTCCTTAAAGCCTCATCAGGAAGATGTTACTTTTATTTTGATTTAATGACTTAATTCTAAATCTGTTCTACAAATTAGGACCTGTTGCAAACCGTATAATTAGGACCTTTTACATGCCTTATACAGAAATTAATGGTTACCATTATATGTTGTGTACATCTAAACACTGAATTTGCCAAAATCGTCAAGACAATCCGTTCTGTAATCATTAATTGTTTAGTCGTACAGCTTCGATTTGATTTTAAATAAGAAAAACAATTATAAATTGATGAATTATGAATTTGTTACGACAATACATCACTACCCAAATTTCAGTATGCAATCTGCATACACGTACAATGTTATTAAATACAGGAAAACTGCGTCAAGCAACATACCAACCATAGAATAAAACAATGAACTCAATATCGAAATCATTGACTTTACATCTTTATGCTTGATTTTCAACAATATCTCAACTATAATATTTTTCTTTGCCATGACATTGAAACTAAGATTAGGAAGTCACCGATTGTTTTACATTATGTGTTCAAATTTTGTATCTAAAAACTTTAACCTGACCATTCATCAGGAAAATAAAAAGAAGATACAGCGTTCAAACAGAGATTGGTATTGTCATCTCTAATGGCATTATGGCAAAGGTTTAGGTCCTAATGTAGAGAAGCAGCGTCAGGAGCCAAAGTGCTAGAGCACATCCCTCAATGAATAAGGTACATGTAATAATAGAGTTTTCTTTCATCATGCTGTGTAATCTTTCAAAATGGGTAAATTAATGAAAAAAATTATCTTGCATCCTCATAACAAAGTATAATAAATCCTCATGAAAATGTAGTTGATTTTTTTATTGGCCTACGTAAACAATTTCTTCAAAATGCATTGAGATTTCACACACTTATGGAGATATTTGGCGGGTGGACAAATTAGGTTGAGAAAGACTACTTCCCTTTTATAATTTGTCTTGATTGACAAAAAATGTTTTATGACATTTTCTACTTTGGTTTTGTTTTGTTCTGTTTTTTTTAAAATTACCCTTGGTTAATAAATAACAAGTTGAAAGTGGAAAATTAAAATTTCAACCTTTTTTTTGAAAGTTTCTGGACAGTTTCAGTAAAACATCAAAATTTATTTTTACAACTAAATAAATATATCACAATATCAATTATTTAGTATTCAAAGTGTTCATGTAAAAATGACCCATTGCTTTGTATCGTTTGGGTTCGATCTCAGAACATAGTTAATGCATTTTAATTTCTCTTTGAATAAAATATTAGTTCAGTCGTAGAATAGTATTGTTTGAAGGTTCTATCATTTTCGTCATAAAGAAAATTAATTGGGTGTTCAATTTTTTTTTTTTTACATTTATACGCATTTCATACGCCCTATCCTTGAAGTCATCCCCACTTCTTCGGACAAAAGGTGATCTTTTCATTTTGTGCAAACTAACGAATGTATAATACTAGTATTTTTCATACTCATTTCCACACTGCATCGTACATATACTATGTATAGAGCGAGTGAGAAATGTGACCCAGTTCTTTGGCAGATTCTTTTTTAGTAATCCATAAGGAGTAAACTCCTTCCGCTGTTCACAACATATGTATGAATAAAAAAAATGTGATTTTCCTTACCCTGGTACATCTGATTTGGTGTGAATTGATACAGTTTACCCTGACGGGAATTTCGTCAGAAAGTTACAGATATGTTAGATTTTAATGTTAACATTGATAAAATATTTGGACACGTATATGTAGAACATAATTTAGAACAAACAGTCTTTGAAGTCAGAAAGCGAGTGTATGTGCTTCTCTATGCTTAAAATAGTAAAATAAAATGAGAAAATAAGACAGCGTAAAGATAACAGGTTTCAGTTGTCATCTTAGTTGACAGAATGACATTGCTCTAGATCATGGAGAGAAATTTTCACACAAAATCTAGATCTGAGGCAGAGAAATAAGTTAAAAGAATACAATTTAGTCTCTCCTAAAGGTTTCCATGTTCATTAAATATCCTATATTTTATTATAGGCATGCATGCAAAGAGCGTGTATATTTCTATCAACCAGACATTTTCTATTAACCCCCCCCCCCCTGAAAATGTTGAAAGCTCATGTATTACTGAGAAAATATAAGTAAACATTTCAATCTACCTTTAATTTCATGAAATTGATACACCTGTACATATATATACACTTCAGGTACCAGGATGTTTTTAACATTGACTTGATATGAAAATGAAATATTTAAACATAACTGCACAAATACAGGGGAGGATCCAGATTTTTTTTTCCAGATAATTGTATAATTTTATATGTATTGTATAATTTTCCATTTGTATTGTTTTTTTTTCATTTTTATTGTATAATTTTTTATTTGTATTGTATAATTTTCAATTTATATTGTATAATTTTCCATTTGTATTGGGTTTTTTTTTCATTTTTATTGTATAATTTTTTATTTGTATTGTATAATTTTCAATTTATATTGTATAATTTTCCATTTGTATTGTATAATTTCTCATTTGTATTGTATATTTTTCCATTTGTATTGTAAAGTTATACAATAAAAATGTGAATTTATAGAATACAAATGGAAAATTATAGAATACAAATAATAGTTATAAAATACAAATGGAACATTATAAGAACACAAATAAAAATTATACAATTCAAATGAAATATTTTACAATACAAATAAAAGAAATTATAGAATAGAAATGGAAAATTAAAGAATACAAATAAACAATATACAATACAAATGGAAAATTATAGAATAGAAATGGAAAATTATAGAATACACACAAACATTATACAATACAAATGGAAAATTATACAATGCAAATGGAAAAGATCGAATATTGCAACGTTTGACATGCCATAGGGTGTCAGTAAAAGACGCTTTCCTTTGTCAAATTTCTTCAGAACCTGTTTCAACAGGGGTGCGTGTTTCCTAGTGGGGTCCACGGTAAGATTTTCGTTACTTTTACATTGAAATTGAAAATAACTGAAAATCCCCCCTTTCCATATATATATATATATAGAGAGAGAGAGAGAGAGAGAGAGAGAGAGAATAAATAACTAGAGATGAAAAGGTTAATATTATGGATAGCATGAATGCACGTAAGAAAACATAAATATGTAACTAATGATTAAACTGCAAATTATTAAGGGCAGTCGTGTGCTTTCCAAAACGTAAATGTCAAGCAAATTTTATTTATTGTGTGTGCACAAAAAATAAATGATTGGACACATAAACTATTATACGTACGAGAAATGAAGCCATTGGGAAAAATGCGATAAAATCATTTCTTTTAATTTTTGTCTCACTGTCTCATTTAATTAACAGAATAATCAATTAAAGTCAAATCCATAATGGTCTTAATTGTATGCATAATTAGAATGTTCTATATGCTAACGCTTCCTAAAATGTATGCATAATTAGAATGTTCTATATGCTAACGCTTCCTAAAATGTATGCATAATTAGAATGTTCTATATGCTAACGCTTCCTAAAGAGCAGCGTATGTGGGGGAAGGTCAGAAAATAGAACGATCTATTCCGTGTACTTTAATAATAGTAAAAAAAAAACAGTCAGTAGAAAACATGGAGAAACATGGCGAAGGAAAACCGAAACAACCTATTATGTTTGATGGAATGGCATTGCCACCATTTCCTCCCCTTGTAAAAGATGCAGAGAAAAGATTTGAAGAAATAAGAGATCTGGAATGTAGAAAAGATGACGTACTGTTGGTTATCTATCCGAAATCAGGTATTTTTAAAAATAATAGATGCAGTGCGAAGTGAAAATAAATGTTCAGGTCATGCATGAAGCGAGTTTGACCGATGATATTAATTTCAGGCCTAGGAGGACTATTGATAACGGTTTTTGGGAATTTTTTGTTGTAGAGTAGCATAAGAATATGATAGAAAAACATAATTAGTAACATTCTGAGATGACACCTCAAGTATAACTGAAAAATACAAAGACATACTAGAAACTCTCCAGCCGCGCACACTTTTTGTGCGCAATAAATATGCACTTTAGACCGTGGGATAAAGATCTACAGCTCAGTCACGACATATAATAAAAATCAAATGTAGTTTTATTTTGGTTGGTTAAAATATTATCTTACGGACACTTTAAGGCCTGTCCTGAAACACTGATTGTTCTCACTAAGAATAGTACTGCGTTGGGGGTTACAGTGATAATAATAATCCATTTCTGTAGGCAAATTTATTAAAGATAACATGTTATAGTAGCCATATACTTTTATACATTGTATTCTTTTAAACCTGAAATAGTATTGTCATAGATCATTGTTAAAGGGAGCAATCTCATGTACTAATCGTTATACTATCCATTGGCTTGTCGTTTCCTTATTACTGTAATCATTTCATGTTTGCATGTTTATTTTGGGCTCTTCATTAGAATAAACATTCTGTTCTGATTTGTTGTGCAACAGTGTTACAGGCAATCTGAATAGTCGATCGAATGTCACGTGTTGTTCTTGCAAATGAGTGAAGTTTAAAAACTTCTCTTTCAAACATGAAATCCACAAAGATATTTACCGATAGGCATGGTTACAAAGGGCGTAAATAACATCCAAACACTCTAGTCACAGTTCATGTGAGCCACATTTCTATCAAGAACATATCCTAGGGGCTATGGTGATTAGTTCCTGTTGCGGGTTCGATAAAAGAATAATTATCCCATACATGTATAAAGCCAGTTGCTAAGTGTAACATATTCATGGAGATTGATAAGGCAGATCACGAAAGATCAGCAAGATCAAGATTTTTTTTAATAACATGTTTGTGTCACGTAGTTAAGATATATTTTCGTCCACTTTATGGATCGATAACTGGGCTGGAAAGGAGCCACTGTCGGCTTTTGTACTCAGCTGAGCTAAAAGCCCATTGTCCAATGTCCTATCTGTTTGTCCTTCCTTCTTTTGACTTAGCACGATGTTTTACTTGCACTCTGCCTGTGCATCTCTATGTAACAGGAGGGAAGAAAATGTGTGGCTGGATTAGGAATCGAACCTGGGACCTCTGCATCACTAGTCTGGTGCTCTACCACTAAGCTATCTAGGCCGATATCCACGGACAACACCTTTATACACTTCCCCCCTCTTGAATTGTCTTCAGTTAGTGAAGGTTCAAGTTTTTTTTAAAATTATGGTCTTGGGGATAGAGTAGGAACACAATGGGGGATTAAAGTTTTTCATGAAAATCAATATAAGAAAAAACATTTTTTTCAAGAATCACTGATCCATGTAAAGTCATATCAACATGCAAGCATTCCAATGCATTGCATAGTCATCTTTGTCCAAATCGTGGCCCCGCGCAGGCTGGAGTAGGACAACAATAGAAATCACAACTTGTAAATGAGAATATCAGCATGTAGGTAAAAAATCAGGAGTAGCAGGGCGAAACTTAATAATATTTTAAGATTAACATCTCCAGGTTTTATGATCGAGTTACTCGATAGAAGTTGGAGACTACAGTTTTTATAACTGAAGCATTCATACATAGTATAGAATTTTAATCAATAAAATAATGTCCAAGTGGATAGGCATAAAAGAGGATAAAGTTGCAAAAGATGTCCAATTTGTTTTCTGTAAGAATATAAACAAAGATTTTAAAAACCTTGTAATTAATTAGGGTCTGAGCGACTACAAGGGATTTTCTTTATTACGTAAAACCCCTGTCACACCGGGACTGCGTCCTCATGGCGATCGCACGGCGTCCATAAAATATGCAAAACGCCGAGGTGAGCGCCGAAGAATCTCCTACAGCGCCGTGACAACGCGGCGAGATCTCCACTGAACGCGGTAGGGTCACGTAGGGTCTCCTAGAACGCCAGGGGACGGCATGCACTATGGGCACGCCCAAAGTTCGCGCCGTGTGAGCGCGGTCTGATTAGAACGCAGTAGAAAGGTAGTATGATCGCCGTAGCAGCGCAGTGAGATCTCCTAAGACGCCTCCGTAGGCACGCCATGAAGACGCGCGTGATCGCAGCATGAACGCATTGATAGGAGGCTGCGCTTCCACAGAGACCTTGCGGAGTCTTTTGAGATGTCACTGCATTTAAGAACGCATTGTAGACGTATTGTGAACGCAGCCAGCGCAGTGAGAACGCCGTGAACTCGAGGTGACAACTCCTAGCACGCCGTGAACGCGTCGATCGCCGTAGGGACGCCGGGGCATCTTTAGATTGTGAAAATTTTTAAAATCGCAGGGAAATTGCACAAATTTCTGTAAAATTTACTCAATAAGTAAAAAGCACAGTATACTATCACTGCGTTCATGCTGCGATCATGTGCGTCTTCACGGCGTGCCTACTGAGCTCCCACCGCGTTGTTGGAGATCTTTCTGCGCTGCTACGGCGAACATACTACGTTTCTACTGCGTTCTTTTCAGACCGCGCTCTCACGGCGCGTACTTTGTGCATGTCCAAAGTGCGCGCCGTCACCTGGCGTTCTAGGAGACCGTACACGACCCTACAGCGTTCAGTGGAGATCTCGCAGCGTTGTCACGGCGCTTTAGGAGACTCTACGGCGCTCAACTCGGCGTTTTACATTTTTTATGGATGCCGTGCGATCGCCGTGAGGACGCAGTCCCGGTGTGACAGGGTTTTTATAAATTACGGAGTGAGTTTGGAAGGAGATGGAATGGCTTATGTTTGTTCATTGAAGTTCGTGTTAAAAAGTCCATTTGAATGACTTAAATTTGTTGCAGGCGATAAACATGTATACAATAGAGTGTAATTTAGAATCTTATGATAAAGTCTTTGATTTTTAATTGACCCAATTATTTCTGGCAGGGACGCACTGGGTCTGGGAAATCGTCTGCATGTTACTAAAAAAGAAAGCCGAATACATGAAGGAATGCAAAGAGTTTTTCTTTTTGGAAGCTATACCAGACATGAGTGTAGTTCATAATCTTGCCTCTCCAAGACCGCTGAACACGCATGTTCCCTACAGATGGCTACCAAAGCAACATATAGAAAATGGCGGAAAGATTGTCCATGTTCTGAGAAACCCTAAAGATGTTGCCGTGTCGATGTTTCATCACTTTAACAATACTATGGCATTTGGTGAACCTACAGACTTCAAGACGTTTTATGAGAGAGTTTTCATGGGTCCAGGTAAGGCAAAAATAGTGCGCAAAAAACAGTAAGTTGCAATAAAAAAAACTCAGCTTTCATAAACATGAAATAAACAATTCAAGCATAAAATGTTTCTCATGTACGAATCAAATTATGCACAAAAGTAATGTTTATCTAGTAGTCTGAATAAAGTTTTGACACAGACTTACTCGACAGAACAAGTCACACTTCGAACAAAAGTTCGCCTATAATAATTTTGAGGAAAAACGTATGAGTGTGCGTGTGTCTTTTAATGAAATTGACCTCCCATCGAATGTAAAATTATCAGGAATTAAAAGGAATTTTTTTTTCAGTTCAGCCATTTGGAGGCTGGTTTTCATATGAAAAGGAATTTGAGCAAGCAGAAGCAAAAGACACACATTCTGCTATTTTCACATTGTATTATGAAAGTTTAAAAAAGGTAAATAACTATTACAAATACACATAAAATGTTAATAATCACTGCTTATTAACACTTTGTAATGACATAAATCTTTTGAAATGCTGGGGAATAACAAATATATCTTGATATTTAATCCCCAAAAGGGACTCGCAATAATACGTTTTGTGTTGATTTGAACGCAAAAAAAATTGATAAAACAAAATGTTATGATGGCTTTTTATAACATTTCACAATGGTCATGTATTATACATTTTGGATGATTACAACCCTGAAGTAGCATTATTAGAGGCACTCATTCAAAAAAAGGCTTTTGTTATGCTAAAACTTTTATCTGCTTTAAGTTAAAAAAAAATGGTATGATCTATACCCGTCACACACCCGATGATTTTTTGGTTGAAAAAAAAAATGCCTGTTTAATGGATTTTGGTGGATACTTTCTAATCCTGTCATTCAATTAAGCTTTTTTTTATCTGTAATTTAGCTGATGGATATATGATTTATAATTTTGGTAATGGATCTTACCTTCCATGTGCTTCAGATCATATTACATAATTTGTTGTTGTTTATTAAGTATTATTATCTAGCATAAAATCAAATATTAAGATTTGTTGCTACAGATATATAGACTATTTTTCAAGAACTTTCATTTTTTTCATTTTTTTTTAGCATCCAGTGGAGGAAACCAAAAGGCTAGCCAAATTTTTAAACGTTGATGTGAGCGATGAAGTTATAACTGAAATAGTCGACAAGTGTAGTTTCAGAAAGTTGAAGCAAGCCAATGACACAATGAAAGAATTTTTAGAATTTCCAAATACCAAAGTAAAATCTAAGGAAACTATGTCGAAATTGTATCGGAAGGGTAAGTCAAATCACCTAGTGCATTACATCCTACCTAATAAAGCATACAATACATTGTTCATGTAATATAAATAAATTTGAAAGCTACCTTTATGCAGTAGTAAGGGATCTTTGCGATTTGTTTGCCCGACCTTCTGTACCAAAACACTACTCCTCTTAACAGGTTTTTCGATCCTTAATCGGAAGGTCGTGGGTTCAAGCCCTGGCCACGACAAATCTAAGTCGATGAAAAATAGGTAGTAATTGTTCCTTCGCCAAGAGCTCGGTACTTTGAAAATTGTGTGTCTTTCGGATTAGACTTTAAAAACCGTGACCCCTTGTCACAGCAGGCGTTGACACGACAAAGAATGGCCCAGTGTGCCGAGTAAAGGTTTAAATCTGAAGCCCTTATTCGGCATATAGTGACATATTTCTTACTATAGCTATCGGGTTTTGACTTCGAAAAACTGTGAAACCACTGTTTTAGAATGATACTAATAAATCTGGTACACAAGTACACATGTAGCTTATATCAAGCTTTAATTCCAAATACTATTTTTATATTTCGATTATGAACTGTATTCCCATGATTACCAGAAATAAAATTAGTTGCTAAAATTCTTTCGAACTGCTACCCTCCAACAATTTCTAATTTTATTTGAATTTAAAGTTTAAAAAACACCAAAATCAACAGTTCTGTAAATGTAAAACTAAAATGGGCGTCACTAGCCAAGGTGCAATTTTAAATTTCTCTTCCATTGTGTTTTAAGGTCAAGATCTAGTAAATGAGTTTAGAGTGTCTTTTTGGTGCTAGATCAATTATCACGTCATAATTGATTTAAACTTACTTTTTCCTGTACTTTACAGCTATAACAGAATTATGTAGAAGATGACACATTTTCATGTAATTCAATTTAAAATCATGTCAATAGGAACCCCGATACCTATATTCAATTTAATATCATTTTAAAGAAGTCAAGAAGATATGAAAAGTCGTTTCCTGAGAGACCGTGGGCAATATTGATACATTTCCTTTGTCTGAGATGGAGAAAACTCCCATTTTTATACCCGCTTCTCTTCATTTTTCATTGAAAAAGGCAGTTTTAAATATGATTTTTCGTTGAGTTTATCTAAAAATCGTGTCCCGATACACCTTAACTTATTTAGCTATAATTGTAATAGATTATAAAAGGGATTTGCTTTTCAAATTTGAGAAATCTGTAGGCACTCTTCATTTACTAGATCTTGACCTTAAATACAAACCAGTGCGACTACAGTCTCATCAGAGACTCCCTGGTTGGTATTCAATGAAGTACATTAGACTATTCTTAAATATCTTATTTAATTCCTGATCAGAAAGAAACTTCAGAAGGAAACCTTTTTTAATGAAGAATATAATGAAAAAAAAAACTTATTTAATTATGCACGTGTGTTTCTACGTTCATTGTCTGTAGGTGCATAAGCAATTATTTTTCTTTCCTTTTTCAGGAGAGATTGGGGATTGGAAGAACCATTTTACAGTGGCTTTGAATGAACACTTCGATGCAGTATTCAAAGAGGAAATGAAAGACTCTAAAATTCAAGTGCAATATGAATAAAAAAAATCATAATTAATACACACAAATGATTAGCATTGCTTGAATTTTATATCCGTGTATGTCCAGTCAAAGACAATGCCCATCTGTCAAAGAGTGAAATAGAAAATATGAACTTTTTAAATTCTCGTAAAATATGGATCGATATACTATACTATTATGCAAATGTTACAGGGTTTTCAACTTTCTCGTTTAAACTCAGCATTTCGAAATTTCTTTGGTCGTTCCAAATACAAGCTTAAGTCTGCAGTTCTATTTTGACTGACACGTTTCCGACCATTTTTAGGATCAGAGATAGCAAATTAAACTGTTGATTTGTGTTTCTCTGTTTGACCAAATTATTTGTAGAGGACTTAAGAGTTTGCTTTCTGTCGTTGTTGCTGTTCAGGGACATATATATGTATCACTTTTAGATTCCTTATTTACCAGATTATCCTAAAGGAACAGAGTGATTTTCACCACTTGGAGGCTAAACCAAGGAAGTCGAATGTATGCAGTTATGTATATGTACATATTAGACATCCATAAAGATACAATTAAAAAAGTTTTTATTTCTTTTTGAACTAGTTGCAATCTCCCATGGCTATATCAGTGCGATTTTTGTATAGGTTATTTAGCACCCCTTCTGTGTGAGCCAACACAATCAGCAGTGTACCATGGCAAATCAGAGGCATCAACATACCTTTGCAAAAGAAATTGAATACCAAATTATTATAGGTTTTCATTTTAAAGTAAATAAATGTAAAAAAAAAAAAAAAAAAAGGATAAATATACATATATGAATGTTTAGCTTTCATGCTCATGAGCATCTGTAGAATGCGGCAATTATTTGCCACGCTAGGCACTGGATGGATTGGTTCATTGGTAACTAGAGGGGTTGAAGGTTATTATCGACTGCATAACATCCCCGAGTCTCAAGAGTGTTTGTTTATGTATACCTTTTACGAAGAAAAGTCATATGTAAAAAAAAAAAAAAAAAAAAAAAAAAAAAAAAAAAGGTAATTTATATAGCAATGATTCCGTGCGTTTTGACATTTTGTAAACTACATGTATATAAAAATTTTGAATAATTATTGCAATAATGATAATTTTTTCGTATGATTGAATGTTTAACTCCCAGGAGTACATTCTGTACTTTGATTTTCTCTGCAACTCGATCCCCAGCGGGGTACCGAATTAGTGCTATTCCTTGGTTTTATGCCTCAATCGCTAACAAACTGTGATCGATTCATAACTTTGGATTCCTTTTTGAAATTCGTTTGAACAAGTATACCCTTTACCCATGGCCTAGATATTTGTTATTATCCTTATTCAAGGTTATATAACTCACTGAACAGTCGAAGTCTTGTGCCAAAAATTACTTCGGTACCATATCGATTGGTAGGTATATCATGGTCTCTGATCTTCATTCAAGGACGTCATCGAGGTACAATGATGGCAAGGGGTAGCATTGGGGTGGGGTGGTATTATATATAAAGAAATTTTCATTTCTTTGCATTTAGTTACAAAAAAAGTTAGGGAGAAATCGTACACGTAATATTCACATAACACTTTATAATATGCTGCCCAAAACAAACACCAAGTAAACAAACAAACAATCAAAAAATAATTTTGTTACTTATCTAAAAGCACAATATTACAAAACGTATCTCGAGAAAAATATTTACAGAACTTTACAAATTATCATAATGTAAGATGTATTGCAGCAGTTACAAAAAAAAATATGATTAATTTGACCAAACAACTTTATAAATGAATAATTTGAAAGATATTACTTCTTTCTTGTAACACACAACAGTATACATAAAATTATTAATAATCAAAACTGTTTTCGTAATATAAGGATATTTTAACCTTCTCGAAGTTTTTGGTTGTTTTGAATATTTCAAAAGAAATATTTTGCACCCACAAATATCAGTTCTTCAAATAAAAATGGTCTTCCTACAATGATTCACCTAAATGCTGCTTTGAGATCTTCAAATTAAAAGATTGATATAAAATTACAAGCAGCATAATTTTATACTAAAACAATTAAGAAATAGTAATCAACTAATCTGGAAAGAGGGCTTAAAAAGGTTTTGTCAAATTTCTAGGATTGAATTAAAAATTGAAGTAACATTCTGAATTGGTTTATTTGGTTTCCCTGTCTAGCTCACGATATTTTCCTCGTCCATAAGGGAAAAATATAATCAGAGTGTCCACATCTCTTTTCAGCCAAAAAAGAATTAATGTGAAATTCATATGAATGAACATCATAATCTTAAATTACTTAGAAATAATAATAAAGAGATCATACAGACAATATACTACAACTTGTGTTTAAGTAAGAAAAAAAATGAATTTCATATTACAAAAATAGAAGCGAAATGTCTTTATTTAATTATGAGAAATCGGGGATTAATATCATTTTTGTAACCAGATGGTTAGGGTTATATTAGAGAGGAATCTTTATACCGGGATACATGTACTACTAATGTGATTTTTTCTTCTTTCGAGAAACCTGGAAAATATGACTGTAGCGACTAATTAAAGATTTAACTTGATAAGGTAAAAAAAAAAAAAACCCAAAAAAAAAACAAAAACAAAAACAAAACTTTAAAACACACACACACACACCCTCTCACACACACACACACACACACACACAAGGAACAAAACAAAACAAAAAAGAACAAAAACAAAGCAAAAGCACAAATAAAACAAACAAAATAAAACCTACAAAACAAGACAAGAACAAGAAAAGACTAAAAACAAAATAAATAAGAAAGGAGAAATTAGGCAACAGGTGAGGACACAATTAGGACACACATGAAGTTATGTATCACAGAGCTACCTGGGGTGGGAATTGCCTATGGTTATAGTAAATAGCACTACTGAAGGAAAAAAAGTGACTACACAAAAACACACATATGATGACGAAGAAACAAGTGATGCCATCTTTAGAGACATAATAAAAGCAAACTCAGACGGTTTACTCAGAGACACACAGGAAGAAGCAATCATGTGATGAATCGGTGAAAAGACTAACAGGATAACACAGATGAAGAAACCACAGGCACTTGGGGTATGGACCCCCCCCCTTTTCCATTTTTTTCTTTTTAAATCTGGGGTCGAGTCGGCTTTTTCGTATTTTTGTATTCTAATATGCACTGTATGTTATCAATAATGTAACTCTTTTGTCTCTATAAGCTGTTTTTAAATATATCGTTTTCGACTGATACATAAAAAGAGAGGCCTTCTCTCTTTTTATGTATCAGTCGAAAACGATATATTTAAAAACAGCTTATAGAGACAAAAGAGTTACATTATTGATAACATACAGTGCATATTAGAATACAAAAATACGAAAAAGGTGACTCGACCCCAGATTTAAAAAGAAAAAAATGGAAAAAGGGGGGGGGGGGTCCATACCCCAAGTGCCTGTAGAAGAAACATCACAAAAATTGTCAAGATCAACATGTAAGATGTAGTTTCAACAATGTAGATATGGAAGTAGAAGACAGATGATGACCAACATGGAAGAAATTAAGAGTGCTAGTGACAAATTGGGAAAGTATTGAGGAAATAATTATAAATGACGTCACGCATGACGAACACAATCAAGTAAAAATCAAATGTATATCCACTACAGTAGTACAGTATCGTAACTGAAGGATGAAAAAAAAAACGACGACCAAAAAACAAAAAGAAAAATACAAAATTAAAAAGCGAAACTACAAAAAACAAAACACACACCCTCACACACACACACACACACAAGACAAATAAAATTTAACGAAAATGAAATAAAAGAAGACACACTACATGTAGAATGGTGGATAAAACTCTATGCACGGTGTAATATTTCACAGACATAAAATGTAGGATATCGGATCTAGAGGAAATTAATCAGAAAAGTACGAAAGCCTATTAGGATCAAACTACGTTAAAAAAAAATTTAAAAGGCGTTATAACGCCTTTTCGAAAGGCGTTATAACGCGAAAAAAGGCGTAATAACGCCTTTTGAAAAGGCGTTATAACGCGGAAAAAGGCGTAATAACGCAAATAAAGGCGTAATTACGCCTTTCCAAAAGGCGTTATAACGCGAAAAAAGGCGTTATTACGCCTTTCCAAAAGGCGTTATAACGCCTTTCCAAAAGGCGTTATAACGCCTTTCCAAAAGGCGTTATTATGCCTTTTGAAGGGCCATTATTATGTCTTTGACAAGCCCGTGCTTTTAAGGTGGGGGGGGGGGTCCCATAAAATTGACAAGCAAACAAAAAAACAAGACACCCCCCCCCCTCCCGAAAAAAATAAACTGCCTAAACTTGAGGGGAAACTTTTTCTAATTTTTCGGTAAAACTTTTTTTAAATACAATGACTTGCCCGAGTTTAACCATACTGCAACAAAATGTTAAGGGACCAAGCAATCAATAAATGATTTTTTATATTTAAACTATAGCAAGACTATTCTTCCAAAAAGTGGGGTGGGGACCCCCCCCCCCCCCACTCACATTCGTACTACCGGCCTGTTTGAAAAGGAGTTGTATCCAAAAATGGAAAGGCGTTATTTTAAAATAGTAAATATATGAAAGATTGAACCAAAGCCATCTTTATTTATGCAATATTTAGATTATAGTTTTAATATTATAAATTATATTATAAATTATAGTATTTATATTCCTGCACATCTCGCAGACAGTTGTTTGCATTTTGCATGCATATTAAGAGAAGTCATCACTCTACTTTTGAAAATCCAGGATATAGGCAGAACCAGCTTTGGGCTTTGCTAGCCACGTATTAAAAATTCATGTCAAATTTGAAAATATTTTTCTCTCCTCTTGATAAAAAACAGGGAAAGTATTTGCATAGGTATAATGAGCAATTAGCCTTCAACAAAATTTCTGAAATCCATACACCTTGGTAGAAGCGTCTGGCATCAGAGAAGGACTAAGTTGGTTTAACACTGAAAATATTTTACATATTTAAAAATCTTTTTTCCTAGAAATCTAATTATAATCAGCCCCCAGGGTGGGCTAAGTAAGTCATGTATTGAAAAAAAAGAGGCGTAATAACGCCTTTTTAAAAGGCGTAATAACGCCTTTTTAAAAGGCGTAATAACGCCTTTTGGAAAGGCGTAATAACGCCATTTAGAAAGGCGTTATAACGCCTTTTGGAAAGGCGTAATAACGCCTTTTAGAAAGGCGTAACGCCTTTTTTCGCGTTATAACGCCTTTTGGAAAGGCGTAATTACGCCTTTATTTGCGTTATTACGCCTTTTTTCGCGTTATAACGCCTTTTAAATTTTTTTTACCGTAGTTTGATCCTAATAGGCTTTCGTAGAAAAGAGATATTGAATGTTCTTTTAGAAATTTCTAAAGTGAACTGTTAAAGTAAAATCATCTCTTGTATACGCGTTAAGTTTATAAGTGCATGTAATTCGTTTGTCTGAATGCAAGAATGTTTCTGTACTATATTGTATGATTCAAGTTTTTGTCTTGACAAAACATATTTCAAAAACAAATTGTAAATATGGAATAGTAATAATTTTTCTCTATTATTTCATTGAATATAGAGGAA